TGGTTTTTAACTTTTCAGGAGACTAGCTCTGCTTTCTGATCTCCAGCAAAGCTTCATTAGTCAGAAAACAAACAAAATAACACAAAACAGTAGAGACAGGAAGATCACTTAATTCAAGGCCAGCCTAATCTACACAGTTGTTGGAGAGCAAGAACTATCTAGAGAGACTTTGTCTTAAAACAAAACTGGATGGATGGCTATAGGAGCCCAATTTCTTTCTGTTAGGAAAAAAAGCACTAAATACAAAGTGGCAAAGTGTGGTATCAAATTACAAATGCTGATGTCAACTCATATACACTTAACACATATATACTACCTTTCACTGTAAAAGCAAGCAAGGCCTTCCTAGTAGCAATGAGCACATCAGGCACACTGATATTTGTTGTTAGCCTTGAACATCTTGTGGAAACAAAAAACAAGGAAGCATACAAGAGCTGGGCATTGGTGGCGCACGCCTTTAATCCTTGCACTTGGGAGGCAGAGGCAGGAGGATCTCTGTAAGTTCGAGGCCAGCCTGGTCTACAGAGCGAGTTCCAGGACAGCCTCCAAAACACTACAGACAAACCCTGTTTCGGAAAAAAAAAAACACAAGGAAGCATACAAGAAATGATCAGTATTTAAAAAGACAACAGCAGTCAGTGGAAGCACCAGACAGCATAATATTTGTACAATTCAAATATCAAAATAAAAAACAAGGAGTGGTAACATAGCTCAGTGGGTAAAGGCGTTTACTGCCAAGCCTGACAATCTAAACTCAGTCTCTAAGGTTCCGCATAGTAGAAGAAAACTGATTCCTGCAAATTGTTCTCTGACCTCAACAGGAATGCTCTGCCACCTAAGTGTATGCACACTCATGCACATACACATATGAAAACTAAACAAATGCAATAAAATTTTTAAATAAATGATAATAACAATATGCCTAGGAAATGGAGAATTAGTATATACTAATAAATGCATAAAGGGTAAATCATAACCCCCCTTAGTAATATTGCAATTAACATTATAGCAATAAATTATCAGGCAACGAACAGACCTTGTGATACACAGACTTTCTAGGAATGGCCAACAAGATTTCACAAGCTCAGTTCCCTGAAACTGTCATTATGGCTTCACTGCCACGACTGTGTTTGTAAGTTGGTACAGTTAACCTTAAAATGGGAGATTATAAACCAGGTGTTTGTGGTGCACACCTTTAATCCCAACACTCGGGAGGCAGAGACAGGCAGATCTCTGTGAGTTCGAGGCCAGTCAGGTCTTCAGAGTGAGTTCCAGAAGAGCCTCCAAAACAATACAGAGAAACCCTGTCTCGACAAACCAAAAAAGGGGAGATTATGAGGAATAAGTGAGAAGCAGAGCTTAATATAATCATGTAAGACCTTAGAAACAGAAAATTTCATACCAGGTAAGCATGGTAGCATATACCCCAAGTTCTAGGCCAGTCTGGTCTACATAGCATGTTCTAGGCCAGCTAGAGTTACATGGCAAGAACCTGTCTTTAAAAATCTACCTGTTCCAAAGAGCAAGAGATTCAACAGACAAAAGAGTAAGAGATTCAAGGCATAAGAAAGACACCATGTGCTGTACTAGTCTTGCCAAAAGAAGGGGCTCCATGAAAGGAAATGCGGATAGCTGAAAGGAGTGTAGAGACAAGGTCCTGGCCAATAGGAAGTAAAAACAGGGAGTCTCATCTTTATGATCACAGCAAATTGAATTCTGCCAAAACCTTACAGGAATTTGGGGACAGAGTATTCAATAAATGTGTTACTGACACCATGACTTTGTGATATCCCAAGGAATGCTAAGCAAAGTTCACCAGAATCTTGACCTACAGAGCTATGAAATGACAAATATGGGCTGTCTGAGCCACCTAACAATCATTTGGAATAGAATGCACATTAGTTAAATTTTGATGATATAAAGAATAATCTTAAAATCTTCCTGGTCTCATTTGGTTATAAAAGAATAAATCCTAACTGTATGTATAGTAATCAACCAAGCACCAATAAAAGCAATATAACGAAATAACCTAACTTAATATTATCAATAAAGGCACAAATGAAATCTTTTGTGATAAAATTCACAGACACATATTCTTCTGGTTGGTTAGATTTTGTTATCAACTTGACATAAGCCACAGTCCTTTGGAAGTAATAACATTTTTCTTCTGGAAAGACAATGGAATCCTTAGATTCTTTTGCTCTTAAAACAGTTTGGTTGTGAGCCGATGGTCCATGGTCTCAACTCTCAAATGAGGTAGAGGGTAGACAAATATGAGTTCAGAGCCAGCCTAGTCTACATAGCAAGCACCAAACCAGCCAGAGTTAACACAATGAAACCCTATCTCATAAAAACATATAAGCACTTAAATAAAAAAATTAAAAAAAGAAGTATGAAAGCAGAACAAGAAAAAAATATAAGCAGTAGAGGGATCGAGGGCATACACCTTTCCTGGAGGCAGAAGCAGATGGATCTCTGTGAGTTTGAGGCCAGCCTACCTTAGTCTACAGAGCTAGTTCCAGGACAGCCAAGGCTATCCAAAGAAAAACCAGGTTTTGTTAAAAAAATTTTTGATATGGACCAGCTATAGTTTTCCTTTTTGAAAAATGTGTTTGTGGGTGGGGATGGGGTTTGTGGGTGGGTACATATGCCACAGAACACATATACATGAAGGCCAGAGGGGCAACTCTGTGGAACTGGTTCTCTCCCTCCAACTTTATGTGAGTCCCAGGGATCAAACTTGGTTATCAGGCTTTTACAGCAATAGCTTTTATTCATTCAGCAATCTGGCTGTCCCTGGTATAGGTCTTCTTGTGTTTCTGTGATTCCTATCAGAACCTCTTGAGACACCATGTGGTTGCTGGGAATTGAACTCAGGACCTTTGGAAGAGCAGTCAGCGCTCTTAACCTCTGAGCCATCTCTCCAGCTCCCCAGAACCTCTTGAATCTGTGGCTTGATATTCTGTTTTTAGAAAAGCCATAGTCGCTGACTTATGAAACTCTAACTGCACATTTAGTTGAGTTTTTACTATGATCTTACATTATTTTCTACGAATATATTTTGTGTTGTGCTTGCTATATGTAGTAGCCTAAACCACTAATCATAATAAGATATAGGTTATTTTCTTAATTTTATGTGCATTGGTATTTTTGCCTGCATCCATGTCTGTGTGAGGGTGTCAGAACCCCTGGAGCTAGACGTATAGGCATTAGTGAGCTGCCATGTGGGTGCTGGGAATTGAACCTGAGTCCTTTTCAAGAGCAGCAGTGCTCCCAAATGCTGAACCATTCCCCCAGCACTGGATATAGGCTATTTTTAAATGAGTTTAGTATGGTAATCTCAGCATTCAAGAGGCTTAGGCAAGATGATCACAAGTTCAAAGACAGCCAAGGATATAGAGCAATATTCTACATCAGTCTTAAAATGAGTAAAGAGAACAAATATCAACTTGTTTTACCGGGCGTTGGTGGCGCACGCCTTTAATCCCAGCACTCAGGAGGCAGAGGCAGGAGAATCTCTGTGAGTTCGAGGCCAGCCTGATCTATGGAGCAAGTTCTAGGACACCTCCAAAACAATACAGAGAAACCCTGTCTCGAAAAAACAAACATTCACCAAATCAATTTAGAATTTTGTTGTTGTTATTTTATTTAAAAAATGAGTCTGACTATAACCAGGCTGGACTGAAACTTACTGTGTAATGTTATGGAAGATTAGTTTCAGATATGTTACATCCATTTATGCTGCGGAATATTTGTTTAATGATACAATGTGAAAGAATGCAACACATCTTTGCATTTGTTTAATTCTGTGAAGCTGTGTTACTTTGCCTGTCTAAAACACCAGATTGGTCTAATAAACAACTGGAAATAGCTGGGCAGGAGAAGGATAGGTGGGGCTGGCAGGCAGAAAGAATAAATAGAAGCAGAAATCTGGGAAGAGAGGATCAAGGAGCTGGATAAGGAGGAGGACTTCAAGGCCAGCCACCCATCCATACAGCAAGCCATGGAGTAAGTAAAGAAAGGTATATAAAAAGGTAAACGCTCAGTGGCAAAAGATAGATAATTTGAGAAAAGTTGGCTAAAAATAAGACAAGAGAAGACTGGGCATTTATAAGTAAGAATAAGCCTCCATAGATTATTTACTTGGGACATGGGTGGTGAGCTACCAAAAGATTAAAGAGTGAAGAGTTAAAAGAACCAACTACAGTGTAATCCATGCTGACCTTGAACTCAGAGCCATCCTCCTGTCACAGCCTACTTGCCTACTGAGTACTGAGATTTTAGGTGTGGACACCATACACCATTCCAAACTATATTGAGTGATATTATTAAGCGTAACAATTTAAATTCTAATATACAAGTAAACATTGAAATGAAGTATTTCTATACTTCGTTAGGGATACAGTTGTAGAGCACTTGCCTAGCACACTTAACACAAAGCTCCACTACCTGAAACCTACACTGCTCATATGTCTCCTAATATTCAGCTATTCATCACCTCCTCTGGCAGAAACTTCCATTATATGCAAAACAGAATTAAGTGTTTCACTCCAAGCATCATCAGTTTACAAATTTACACTTTTCCCTTCCAAAATTACAATCTTACAGCAGATACTATACTAGCAAACACACCCAATAAGGACATCTATAAACTTGCAAATCAAGTTTTCTACAAATCAAAAAGCTACTCCATACAAAAATAAATGACAGACTGGAGAAATGACTCAGCAATTAATAATGCTCACTGTTCTTGCAGAGGACTCAGATTCGGTTCCCAGCACCCTCATCAAGTGGCTCACAACCACCTATAACTCCAGTTGCACGGAATCTAGAATTATATTACAGAGGAATCCAGGCCTCTGAAGACACCTGCATACATATGGAGCACATAAACAAACTCATGCAACCTCACACACATCATACACTTACATAAAGATAGAAGAAAATATTTAAAATAAATGAAAAGGGACTACATACAGCAACGTCTTTTTTCGGCTTACCTGTGGTTTGGTTCATTACAAGTTGTGGAGAAGAACACGTTTCTTCAGATTCTTCTGATGAATGTGCTAGGAAGTCATGTAGCTTCTGCACCAATGTATTCAACTTGCTTTCACTATCAAAACAAAAATTTACCAATGTCCTTACAATAAACATAAATCTCTAACAAACTGTGAAGCTTATCCTATAGTCTTAGGAGAATAAACATGCTCAAAGTCAAAATTAAGGCAATGGATTTTATTTTGCTGAAGGTATAAAAAATATAAAACAGCCAGGTGGTGGTAGCAGCACAGTCTTGAAAACAAACAAACAACAACAACAACAACAACAAAAAAAAAACGACACAACTGTCCATATGACCAGAGACAGGCTAAAAAAAATATTACTTAAGGAAAATGCTGATACTGTTCACTAAACATTTCCAAATATTGAAATCTTTTGATGTGCTGAATATGGTATGTTTAATATAAATTACATTTAAAAATAATTTATCACAAGGGACTGGGAATGGAGATCGGTATGAAAAATATTTACCTTACATGCACAAGGTCTCAAGTTTAATTCCCAGTACTTCTAAAAATAACAAACAGAAAACTATCAACTAATTAAAAAAAAAAAAACAAGCCGGGCGTTGGTGGCGCATGCCTTTAATCCCAGCACTTGGGAGGCAGAGACAGGCGGATCTCTGTGAGTTCGACACCAGCCTGGTCTACAGAGTGAGTTCCAGGACAGTCTCCAAAACAATACAGAGAAACCCTGTCTCGAAAAACCAAAAAAAAGAAAAAAAGAAAAAAAGAAAAAACAAACATAACCACAAAGAGTTTCAAAAGAAAAACTGGGGTGATAAAAGTTCCAAGATAGAAAGAACTACACTGAGAAATCCTGTCGTGAAAACCAAATAAACATTTATTCACCTTTAATTCACAATGTCTAGCTGGCCCTTGTATATACCTTATTACCATTACTAATGTCAATAAAATAACTACTTTCTTAGACATGGGCTATATCTTTAAGGGCCTTTGAAACCAAAATATTGGTAGATCACCTTTTAAAGAAAGCTTCAACACACCAACATGCAAAATATGTAACATTTTTCTTCCTTTACACAAGAAAATCAGTTATTTATCGTGTATTTACTTATTGTCTTGACAGTCTCATTAGTTTTTAATTATTCTATTTTCTCCTTGGCATACAGTAGTTGTATAATACACTGATGCTAAAATGAAAAAAAAAGTATAGAGCAGGACTTGAAAGAATGAAAACTTTTAAGAAACCAATAACAGAATCATCATTTACAGCATAAACTGTTAACCTATTTAATGACTGAACAGGGTTGCTTTACATGGTGGCAAACACCTTTAATCCCAGCACTCCAGAGGCAGATAGGCAGATTCCTGTGAGTTCAAGGCCAGCCTGGTCAGCAGAGCAAGTTCCAGGACAGCCAGAGCTACACAGAGAAAAACTGCCTTGAAAAAACAAGCAAACAAATGACCAAAACAAAATAAACTGATAAGGAGTCCAAAGCTTAAATGCAGAAGTTAAACATTTAATCCTTTCTTTTAAAAAAAATGAATATTTTAAGGCTGGAGAGATGATTCAGCAATGAAAACCACTTGTGCAGTCATGTGGACCAGAGTCCATATCCCAGCACCCATGTTAACAAGCAACTGCAGCCCCAAGGGAGCCAGAAACAGAAAGATCTATGGGGTTTGTTAATGTCTAGCCTAGAAAAATGCAAACTCCAGGTTCAGAGAAGTCCTGCCTCAAAGGAATAGAAAAGAATATCAATAATGTCTTCTGGCCTCTGTGTGCACATGGGCATGAGCACCAAAGACAAATAAATACACATTCACAATACACAAATCTTTTTAAAGGAAGATTTTATAAGTTTAAAAGCCAAGACAGAAAATAAATCAAAAAATTTAAAAAGAAAATAAACAAATCCTGACTTCAAACTTCCAAACAATTTTGTCAAAGGATACCAGCAAGAAAATAGAAAGATAGAAAGACTAAAAGCAGAAATTAATTGAGGGGGGGCTGAAGAAATGGCTCACACTGCTTTTTTTAGAGGACCAAAGATCAGTTCTAAATACCCATATTAGACAGCAAAACTGCCTCTAAATCCCACACTCATGTGTACACACACACACACACACACACACACACACACACACACACACACACACACACTAAAAGAGGGCTGGAGGTACAATTCAGTCTTTAAGGGCACTAGCTGTTCTTGCAGAGCTTCTGGATTCAATTCCCAGCATTCACATCATAACTATCAGTAACTTCAGTTTCAGTACATCTGATACTCTCCTGGCTTTGTAGGCACTATGCAAGCATGTGATGCGTGCATGCACACACGCGCACACACACACACACACACACGCACGCACGCACACACACACACCTGTAAGTAAATAAATACCCTTGTTAAAAAAAGAAATTAAATGTAATGGAGACTAAAAGAATCAGGAAACAAAGAGTTGGGGGGAAGCGGGTATACTCAGCTTGTAGAATACTTGACTAGCACACAAATTCCTAGGTTTGATCCCCAGCAACAGATAAACTAGGACTGGTGACAAGTACCTATAATCCCATTCCTCTGGAGCTAGAGAAATTTAAAATCATCCTTAGCTGTATAGCATGTATGAGAGGCAAGCCTGGGATACTGAGACCCTGACTCAATTAAAAAAAAAAGAAAACAATAATAAAAAGTTGAGGCTAGAACTCAACCTTTGACCTACAATCTGCCCTGCCTATTGGAAGAGCAGGCAGAGGAGGTGTAAGGATAGTAAGGACAGTGCTGAAATTATAGGAGTGGTCAACCAATGACTGGTTCAGCCTCAGACCCATACCACAAGTGAGCCCACCCCAGACACTGCCTTAAGTGCCAGGACACAGAGGCCCAGAGACCTAGAATAGAACCAAACACAAATGAGGGAAGATAATATGTTCTTCTATACTCATAGTTTGGTGCCTAGCCCAATTGTCATCAGAGAGGTTTCATCCAGTAACTGATGGGAGCAGATGCAGAGACAAACAGCAGCTAAGCATTGAGCTAAGCTTGGGGAACCCTGCTGAAGAAAGGTAGGAGGGATTATACAAAATGGGGGTCCATCCCCAGATGAATCCTAAAAGTTGGCTCTAACCTCCACATGTGCTCTATGGTGACCACAAATAAATAAGTAAATAAACAAGTAAGCAAGTGTAAAAATAGGTTGAGAAACTAAAGAGATAGCTCTTGGTTAAGAGCACCCATATCAGACAGCCTCTAGCTCCAGCCCCGGAAAATCTGGCATCCTAAAATTGGTTTCCTTGGGTACTGACACACACATGCATACATTCAACAGACACAATATATAAGTCTTTAAAATTTTTATTTGAAAACTGGTAAATATCTTTAACATAAAGTTCTCCAAAGAAAATGTACAAAAGGCAATGCGAAACAAAACCACATAAGAAACTAGCTGAAGCCAGGCAGTGGTGGCGCACGCCTTTAATCCCAGCACTCAGGAGGCAGAGGCAGGAGAAATCTCTGTGAGTACAAGAACAGACAGCTACATAGAGAAAACCTGTCTTGAAAAAAATAAATCAAACAACAACAAAAAAACAAACAGACCATTTGATACTCAATAAAATTGCCAAAATAACTTTTAAAACAAAAAAGTTATGGCAAAGCTACAGAAAATTAGACTGCATATACATGGCCTGTAAACAGGGCTGGAGACATAGCTCAATTGGTAAAAATGCTTGCCTAGCATATATTAGGCCCTGATTTGGATCCTGAGCACCACACAAATTGGACAAAGTAGAACACACTTGTATCCCAGCACTGGAGAGGTGTAGGCTGGAGATCAGGAGCTCAAGGCACCCCCTGTTGAATAAGGAGTTCAAGGTCAGCCTAGGCTATGAGACCTCACCTCAAAAAACAAAAAGGAATGTAAAATAGTACAGACACTGAAAAAAAAACTGGTCTGTTATATACAGGACCCTGGGTTTATTCCCCAGTACTGAAAAAAATTAAGCACAGGGTAACAAAATGAACCAGAAACCTTACTTCCAGAAATACACCCAAAAGAAACGAAACCACATGCTAATCCATAAAAATGCTGTAAGCAATTGTTCATCGCAACATGACTCATAACTGAAAAAAGAAAGTACCCAAATATACATCAACACATAAATGGATAAATAAAATGTGGTATCATCCATGGAATATTATACTCAAATAAACAGAATGAAATACTAATATATGTTAAACAAGCATGACCCTTACAAGTGGCAATGTTAAAGCAGACACAACACACTATCAGATTGAATTTCTCTATTTATATATCCAAAACGGGCAAGTCTATAGAGACAGAAGTAAATTACCAATTGTTAGGCGATGGGGAAAAGGAGAATTGGAAGATATAGGGAATCCCTTTTATGATGATAAAAAAATATCTTAGAGGCTAAGGATATAGCTTACTTGGTAGACTGTTTGCCTAGCATTAACAAGTCAATCCTATCACCACACTGAGACCATAAAGCTAGATATGGTGGTATACTCAGAAGCTAGAAACAAGACCAGAAGTTCAAGATCATTCTTGACTACATGGTGAGTTGAAGAACAGCCTGGCATACATGAAACTGTGTCTCAAAAAAAAGGCATACAATAGCAGCACATGGCTAAAAGGGTCCTTTTTTTCTGAATGTATACATGTGCTTTGTCAGCCAGGCGTTGGTGGCACACGTCTTAAAACCCAGCACTTGGGAAGCAGAGGCAGGCAGATCTCTGTGAGTTCGAGGCCAGCCTGGTCTACAGAGCAAGTTCCAGGACAGCCTCCAAAACAATAGAGAAACCCTGTCTCAAGAAAAACAAAAACAAAGACAAAAACCAGGTGATTTGTTGGCATGTATGCCTGCAGACCAGAAGAGGGCATCAGATTGTAAACCACCACGTGGTGTGGTTGCTGGTAAGTAAACTCAGGACCTCTGGAAGAGCAGCCAGTGCTCTTAACCACTGAGCCATCTCTCCAGCCCCTCCTTAAAATGGGTACTCTTATTTTACCTCCTCATCACATGTTGTACATAATGTTTAAAATATCAATGTTTACATGAAAAAAAACCTGCCTTTCTTCTGCTTGCTATATATTAGGCAAACACACATTAAAGTGATAGGACTGTAGCTTTAAGACTAGATGCTCCGATGATTCTTCAGAGATTTGGATCGGGTCTATTTCATACTATGTCCACACGACAACCTTCATGAGGCTTGTAACCAAGCATTGCATCAAAATGTCCAGCCAGGAGAAGGAAGCACAGTCTGCTCTAGTTGGCTTCCAAGAATATAGTTGGGGCTGAAGATGTGGGCCAGTGGCTTAATAGTGTGTGCCTGTCCTAATTTTGCAGAGGACTCAAGAATTCAGTTCCTAGCACCCACTGCAAATGGCTCACACCTGCTTGTATTTGAGTTCTAACAGATCTGGCAAAATCTTCTGTCCTCTGAGGGCATCTACGCTCTTTATGCACAGACACATATGTGCACAATAAAAATCATGGGGAAGCCAGGCTGTGGTGGTGCACACCTTTAATCCAGCACTTGGGAGGCAGAGGCAGGCGGAGTTCAGTGAGTTCGAGGCCAGCCTGATCTACAAAGTTCCAGGACAGACTACAAAACTACAGAGAAACTCTGTCTCGAACCACCCCCCCCCAAATGTAGTCAGGAGTCATAGGTCCAACAAGAGAGTCATTAATGGAAGAGAAGCCCAAGCCTCTTGATAAAAAATTGGAACAGGATCAGGCCTGGAGAAATGACTCGGTGGTTAGGGGCACTTACTGATCTTGTCAAGGATTGAAATTCATTTCCTAGCATTCATGTAAGGCAACTCACAACCATTCCAACTTCCAGGGATCAAATGCCTTCAATCCCAGCATTTGGGAGACAGGATCTGAGTAGCAGACTAATCTAATCTGGACAGTGAGTTTTGAGTCCGTGAAGGATACAAAGTAACATAAGGGAGTACCCCCAAACCTAGTCAACCTCAAACTAACTTAACTTTGTATTTTACTCTTGCCAGTGCACTGGCTAAAATAAAATGACTTTTGTGTTTGTTTGTGACAGGGTTTCACTGTGTAGCCCTGGTTATCCTGAACCTAACTCTGTAGACTAGGCTGTGGTGATATTTTGTTTACGCTCTAATAAGGGCGGAGCTAGCCACTAGTTAACCATAAAGGTCTGGAGGTCTATACAGACAAACAAAAGTGATGCGGCTGGGCAGAGAGAGGAATATAAGGTGGGAGGAGACAGGTGCTCGGCCCTCTTTTCCGCTGAAAAGTTAGCACGTTAAAAGCTAACTGTGGCTGGCTCCTTTGTCTCTCTCATCTTTCAACATTTACCCTGATATATGGCTCCAGGTTTTTATTATTAAGACTGATTAGAACTCATGCAACGCTAGGTTGCCCTCAAACTCACAGAGACATACCTATACCTGCCCCTGCCCCTGTCTCTCCAGTGCTTGGATTAAAGGCATGAGCCACCACCACCCCATTAAAATGGCTTTAGATGAGATCATTCCTGGACTTAGTTTACCAAATGAAAACTCCTACAAATGCAACAGCTTCACCATGCAGTCACTTAGAGACAACAAACACCATGGATGCCACAGAGTGTATCAGAAGACTGAGACAACAGAAGGCCTGAACATTAAATGCATGCAGCAAGTCAACCTTTTCCCCTTCAAGAACCCTATTTATTCATCTCCATTTCTTCTGCCTGGACTTCTTATAGCAGGGAAAGACGTTCGCGTATATGGAATCAGCCGAATATGCTCTTTCCACTGCCACTTTGGAAAAACTCCATTCCTTGGTTTATGGTGTCATGGCCTTCCTGGTGTGTAGTTAGGTGTCATAGGAAGGTACTAGCAGCTTCCATCTCAAATAAACATGGGCAATTATCAGACACATTATACCAAGGACTAAAAATGAATCTGGCATTTAAGCAGTATGAACCAGTCCCATAAATGGTGGTGATGGTATATTAGCATGAAGATGTGACAGTGTGGTTAACTACCATTTATTTAAAACATGCTGTGTGTCTTGTTTAGTTGGTTTTGATCTTTGGAGGCGGAGTTTCTCTGCATAGCCCTGACTGTCCTGGAACTAGTTCTATAGACCAGACTGACCGCGAACTCAAGAGATTCATTCACCTGCCGCTGCCTCCCAATTGCTGGAATTAAAAGCATGGGCCCCCAAACCAGGTTCCATGTGACTTCACTTCTGCATTTGCTCCCTTTTCTTTGGGGGTTTACGTTCAGAAAGCAACTTTTCCAATCTCTTACTGCGTTCCTTTTTATTAGGAATCAAGAAGTATTACATTGTTCCAGTGTGGAGGTACATGGGACTCTTAATACTAGAACTCGGAAGGAACGCAGATCTTATGCATTTGGGGCCTGGTCTACCAAGCAAGTTCCAGGACAGCCAAAGCTACATAGAGAAAGCTACAAAAAGAAAAAGGAAAAAACCAACTCCACACTGGTTTTCTTCTGACCTCTACACATGTGCACTGTGGCATGCACACCCATATCCACACAGGAAGAAGTAAAAAAAAATAAAATTGGGTGGTAGTGGCGCACACCTTTAGTCCCAGAAACAGGCAGATCTCTATGAGTTTGAGACCAGCCTGGTCTACATAGTGAGTTCCAGACAGCCAGGGCTGTTACACAGAGGAAAGCCTGTCTCAGAAAAACCTGGGAAAGATAACAAGTAGCATTTCTCCTTCTACCTGTTATTGCTGGAAAAGTTTTATTGCCTTCTTTAACTCACCTAATTTTCTTTTAAAAGTTCCATGTAAGCCAGGTGGTGGTGGGGCACGCCTTTAATCCCAGCATTCAGGAGGCAGAGGCAGGTGGATCTCTGTGAGTTCAAGACCAACCTGGTCTACAAGAGCTAGTTCCAAGACAGGCTCCAAAGCTACACAGGGAAACCCTGTTCGAAAGAAAAGTTCCATGTATAATTTTAAAACTAAGATAAAAGCTAAAAGCATATTGAACATACTTCCCCAAAATTTTCATGATGATCCACTCAAGGAATATAGACCAGAAAAGGGAAGCAGATATGTCAATCCAGTACAATAACACAAGGTTGTGATATGATTCAAGCTCTGCCAGTCTGAGGCCAACCTGAAACAATACCTGTCTCAAACCACCACCCTCAGAAAAAGGAAATTACTCACATTTACATGTGTTTCTAGCTTCAAAATCATTATGTCTAGATAAAAACAGTGATTTCATTTTCCCATCCCCAAAATCTCACTTTAAACAATAATTGACAATCAACTTTTCACCAATCCAATAGATTCATGCCTTGCTTTATTTAAAAAGTCAATACTCACTGGATTTGGAACAGTTGATCTTACTTGTCAACTTTATTACTGGATTGAGAAGTGCCTAGAAGATTAGCAAAGCACATTTCTGGGTGAACAATGACTCAGAATGTGCTCAGGCCATCCCAGATGTTGAAGACCTAAATACAATAAAAGGACATTTTAAAATCAGTGTCCCCAGGCAGTGGTGGTATATGTCTTTGATTCCAGCACTTGGGAGTTCAAAGCTAGCTTGCCTACAAAGTGAGCTCCAAGACAGCCAGGGCTACACAGAGAAGTCCTGTTCCAAGATAGATTAGATTAGATTACATACATACATACATACATGAGGTAATAAATAATAAAAAGTAATCTTTAAAACAATGAGTGTCCCAGAGCAAAAGCATTTTTTCTTTGTTTCTGGAGCTGCTTTGATGCCCTACACCCTCACTATACCAATAAACTAACAACTCTGAAGCCATGAGCCCAAAGAAATCTTTCAATGAAATGAAAAACTCATTAGCATAGATGTGTTAAAAAAAACTAAGACATGTCCCTAACCAAATATCATCATAAAAATATTCTTTTCAAGGCTATCGGGTATTAACTGTGCAAGTCTAGAAAATAAGGTCCAAGTGCCTGTCAATTTGTAACTATTTAGATTACATGCCATGCCAAGGAAGTCAAAAGAGGGACACTGATCCCTGGAACTGGAGTTATGGATAGTTGTGAGCCACCACATGGGTGCTGAACTACAACCTGGGTCCTCTGCAAGAGGAACAATTGCTCCTAACTACCAAGTCATCACTCCAGCCTGTCTGTAATTTTCACAATTACTGTTTATTTTATGTGTATGCATTCGGGGGCTTGTGGAGGTCAGAAGAGGCACCAAATCCCCTGGAACTGGAGTTACAAGTGTGACATGGCTGCTGGGAAGTGAACCTGTGCCCTCTGAAGAGCAGGGAATAAGTGCTCTTAACCACTGAGCCATTTCTCCAGTCACACATACACCTATCTGTAGATTTTTCTATGCCTTGATTTTACAACTAAATAAGTCCGTGCAGATTTTCTGTATGCCACTGAATACCAACCACTGGAAAAGCAGCTGTTAAATGCTGGCCAGAAGATGGTGGCATGGGCCTTTAATCCTAGTGCACTCGGGAGGCAGAGGCAAGCAGATCTCTGTGAGTCCAAGGCCAGCCTGTTCTACAAAGCAGATTCAAGGACAGCCAGAATTATTACACAGGGAAACCCTGTCTCGAAAAACCACGAAGAAAAAAGAAGAGTAAATGCTGGCCTGTTGGCAATGGTAGTGACAGTGCACACCTTTCATCCCAGCACTCAGAAGCAAAGGCAGAGGCGGGAGGATCTCTGTGAGTTCGAGACCAGCCTGGTCTACACAGTGAGCTCTAGGACAACCAAGGCTACACAAAGAAACCTTGGGGGTGAGGGGGTAAAAGTTGGAAAGAATGTTCTTCACAAACATGCCAAATTTCAATGTCTATATTATAAATACTGACCAGATTTAAAAACCACAAGAATGAGGGGCTGGTGAGATGGCTCAGTGGTTATGAGCGCTGACTGTTCTTCCAGAGTTCCTGAGTTCAATTCCCAGAAGCCACATGATAGCTCACAACCATCTATGAGATCTGATGTCCCCCTCAAGTATGCAGACAGATCACTCATACATAAAAATATATACAAGTCTAAAAAAGTATCTTATTACAGGAAAGTAAAACTCAAGAGAGATCCTTACTTGCAAAATGCAATAAGAATTATAGTTTCTACTTATAACTATTAATATATAGATAGATATAATCAGGATGTGCAACTCCAGTCAAATCCAACCCCATACTGGATCCTTTAGGGAAACCCAAAACAGTTACTAATAAAAGATAATGAGCAACAGGGCTAGGGGTGTAGCTCAGCATTGGGAGTACCTGCCTAACATAGGCAAGGTCCTGGGCTCAATCCACTAACCCCACGAAACTTATTTTCCTTAACCCCACGAAACTTATTTTCCTAAAGAGTGAAAAAGCAGTTATTCTAATAGATAATACTCAAAATTAAATACTTAAAAGGACGGAAGACACAGTAAAACAAACACACCGCTAGTTAATACAGCACGCTGTTTCCAAGTGTCTATGGGTTTTGCTTAAGGATTTTTTTGTCTATGTTTTTTGTGGTGATGGTGGTGGTGTTACTGTCATCACTGTCTGAGACAGGTCTCTATGTAGGTGAAGAAAACCAAGAACCCTATCCCTGCCATCTGAGCTTTAGGACTATCACTGGGTACTACCATGCCTACTTTGTTTCCAATTTTTTTAGATTTTTGTTTTTTCTTCTTTAAATTCTCAGATTTTAATTTTTTCTTTATGTATTTCCATTATACACACAATCCACACATATACACATATATACATACAAGTGTTTTGTCTGAAGTGTGCATGCCTGATGTCCAGAGAAGCCAGAAGGTGCTGGATACCCTGGAACTAGAGTTTTAGGTTGTTATAAGCCACAATGTGGATACTGGGAACCAAACTCGGGTCCCCTACAAGAACAGGAAGTACTCTTAACTTCTGAGCCAGCTCTCCAGACTCTTTGATTTTAATATTTATATAAACACATAACGTCACCTAAGTCTATAGCTTTATTTTACATGCCAAAACTACTGTGCCTACTGCACTATGCAATAAGTACAGCAGTAACAAGACAAGGTTCTAACAATAAAAAAATTCATTTCCTCCAAAAAGCATATGCATGAAGCCCCAAGTTCAATCCTCAGCATCACAAAAAGAATGAATTAAAATCTATAGGTGTTTTGCCTGCATCTATGTCTGCACTAGGTGTGTGCCAAGTCCTGGAAGAGGCCATAAGGGGACACTCAATCCCATGGAACTGGTTATGTGCTGCCACATGGGCACTTCCTATACTCTAGCTGACTTTATTTTGAGCTGGAACTTGGCCTTACATAACACATTAAGCATGACCTTTATCGCTGAGAACACTGCAAAATAATCTTTTTTGCTCTATTATTATCTACTGCTCTATGCAAAATATTGCTTTTTTGGCACTCTTACTTGTCTTGAAATACTTGTGAAACGGAATTCAGTTCTTACGTCTTTTGTGAGAAGTAGATTCTAATTGAGTGGAGTTAGAGTGAGGAGGAAAAACTGGACAAACTGGGAATTATTAGCTTATCTTAGACCCATCAGATCACAGGTCCAGGCCAAAGCAACGAACACTCACACACACCGGAAAAATCCTAGAGATAAGCAAATACGAAGAGCCACTGTTTACCTGAAACAGAATACTTATTAAACAGCCTCTGACAAGCTGCTGGAAGCTTGAGTCAAGAGTTAAAAACCCTGTGGCAGAGCTGAAGAGATAGATAGCTCAGCGGTTAAGAGCACTGACTGTTCTTCCAAAAGACCTGGGTTCAATTCCCAGCACTCTTGTGGTAGCTCAAAACAGTAACTCCAGCTCCAGCAAAACACATAAATAAATCAAAGAAAAGATGTGAAATAATATATAACCACTGTGGCCTCAGTCTTTTTACTTCCAGGAACCACTCTGGGGTTTTTAGAAAGATCTCATTGGAAAGATTTGAAAAGGATTCTTGGGCTAGAGAGATAGCTCAGAGGTTAACAGCACAGGTTGCTCTTCCAGAGGTCCTGAGTTCAATTCCCACATGGGGCTCACAACCATCTGTAATGAGATCTGGTGCCCCCTTCCGGCAAGCAGACGGAACACTATATACATAATAAATCTTTTCTTTTTAAAAGAAATGATCCTTGAGCAAGAACAGCAGAAAGTAACCATATCAAAATATGCCCAGAGAATTATCCTGTAGGAGGAAAGGCAATAAAATAACCCTAGACCTTTCTTGCCTTCCTGTTTTACCTAAGTAGATATAGTATGAACTCAAAAAATTGTCTTGAAGGTCAAAGTCAGAAACTTGGGCTGGAGAAACTGCTCAAGAGTTAAGAGCACTACCTACTCTTCAACAGGATGCTCATTTAGTTCCCAGAATCTACATGTCAGCTCACAACAGTCTGTAACTTCAGTTCCAGGGGATCCAATGGCCCTTTCTGGCCTCTTTAAACTATAGGCACACACAGTACATAGACATACACACAGGCAAAACACCTATACATATCTTTTTTGTTTCTTTTTTCTAGACAAGGTTTCTCTGTGTAACAGTCCTGGTTGTCCTGGAACCTGCTTTGTAGATCAGGTTGGCCTTGAATTCACAGAGATCCACCTACCTCTGCCTCCCAAATGGAGTGCTGGGATTAAAGATATGCACCACCACCACCCAGCCACATCATTTTTTAAATAATAAATAAAATAAACCAGAAACTTGGAACAGCACTAAAAAGCAGAGATTTCAGTTCACACTACAGTCCCAGCACTTCCAAGGCCACAAAAAAAGGATTGCCAGGAGTGCAAGACCAGCCTGAACTACAGAGTGAGAGACCCTACTTCAAAAGAAACATCAGATTTACTTGTGAAGGACTCCCTAACTCCCTACCCATTACATCAAGGAGACTCTAGCATAATGATGATGAGTTAAAACTAAGATATCTCCAAGACAAGACACTGCTTATGGAGGAATTAATAGGAAAACCAAATACAAGAGGGAAATATTTTTTAAAGGCAGTAGAAAAAGCTTTAAGTCTGGAATATAGTACAGTGTTTGCTTAGCATATGCACGGTCCTGGATTTGGTTCCAAGCAGGAGAGGAAGAAGGAAAAATGCTATTTAAGCCTGTTACCTACCATGTATGTCAAACTCAGCCTTAATCCTATCCAGTTTAACATAAATTCTCTTACTGAAGATATAGCACCTATGTGGCAGACGAGGCTGGGTTTGATCACCATTACTACCCAAAAAAAAAACCTCACACTAAAATCCTGAGAGTTATCTCAGTTTCTGTTACTAGACACAGCATGCCTAGCTTCCAACAACAAAAACATTACATGCTACAAGGGCAAAAACAAACAAAACCACAGTCTAAAGACCAACTCAGATATGAAGGAGAATTTTTAATTATCAGATTGAAGATGCAAAATAACTATGACTAACACAAATATTGTACAGAAAAAAATAAGCAAAATGTAAGATGAGAAAGGTAATGTAAGCAGTATTACAAGAATTT